GGCCTATATATGTATGTGTGGGGGCTTTATCATTATTAACAATTGTATACAAATACGGATAGTAAATACTGTATAAGTAGTGTGAAAGTATGTAATGTAAATACGTTTTTTCCCCTTCATATTTTCCAAATTTATCGGTAATGGTTGTGATCATCTCAAATGCAGGGACGTGTTTGAATTCAAATGATGTTGCATACACATAATGTGATTACCAGATACTTGCCGATATGAACTTGGGATAAATCTATCTTTTATTCATCTAAGCTCGATCTCAGAATATGATACAGTGACGATGCATGTAAAATTGATGGTAGGTGAGATGATGTAATCCGGCTGCCTGGTTCTTTGGGTGTGAATACGAAAGTTTCGCACGCTGTCTATATAATGAGCGTTATATTTAATCGTGGCACGCTGACGCATACATGATGATTCTTAATCTTTTGAGTCATAAACAGTGTGAAAATTAATTTCACTTACCTAGGCCTCTGCACGTCGCTGTTTAATAAATGTGGTCGTGGTAAGACTGCTAGAGGCCTTCCAGTCACGCTGCATAAGATGCACACTCAGAGTCAGACAAAGGGCCCACTCTAACGTCTATTCCTCTTGGAAATCGATCTTCAACGTAAAGATCTTCCGCTAAATGAATACAGTTTGGTAACATCGTACGCCGATCAGAACGTACACTACATGCTTTTCTGTGTCGATCAAAATGATGTAGTTCTCGAATATCCCACGCTAGGTTCTCTTTTACATACTCATAATTGGAAGGTGAGTGTGGTTCCCTTCCTCAGGTTCGTTCACGATGTCAATATCGATCCAGGTGTTTGAACGATGAGCATAATTAGGCCTATCACTTGTTGTTTGGTATCATTTTGGCGCATACAAATAGCAACACAATTCTGTCATTTAACAATGTGCTATGCTTATCGAATCATGGTTTATGATGAATAATGCCCGTGAGATGCTTATCGATGCTGATACGAGGTAGCTAGCCTATAGCCTAGACAAATGTACTGAAACGCAAACACGAAATTACATAAATTATTCAACCGTGCTGCGAGAGTGTAATCGTATTGATGCACAGAACAAAGCGCAGAAGAGGTCGCTCTTAATCACTAATGAAAATGATACGAAGAAAAAAAAAATAATACTAATAATTGTGAGTGCTGTGCGTTTGTAAATATCATATTGGCATAATACGACGGGATTGTAATTAGGAGGATGTAGAGTCTATAATACAGATGGTTACTGGTGTATTAGCTTTAGATGAGACACGCAGCGTCTGTCCGTCATTATGATATTTTTATGATGGATCGCCGTAATCCCGCACGATGATGGCGTTGAGCGGCCGATGAAGTAATTAGAACATGCACTCAATCTTTTTTGACCAATCCAATTGACCGCAAACGCTCACGTACGCATGTCTTCTTACAATAGATAAGCCTAACTATTATATAATTAAACATTATTGCGCATTTCCGAAGATTCTGATTTAGGCCTACTAATTTTAAGTGTAATTGTTTAATTCTTCGTTGTTTTATTTTTAAGGCCTATGTTCAGTTAACGAACCCAAAAGGTCGCATACACGTGCTCTGTATCTTGACTGATAATATATATCGGGCCTAGTGAAGTAGATTCCAAAATAGCGGTCAACTCGTCAAGACCACGCCTATCACAACATCACTCTAATGGGCACCTCCATTAGGGTCACGCCCCTTTCAAATGAATTTATTTTTTATGTTTACTGTACGACTGCTGTGCCTTCTATAGGCTCAAATAATTCTGGACAGGAACGTGTGTTGTTAATTCAATAGTCGTTATCATTATACAACAAACAAAAGATAGCAAATATTTATTATGAGACGTGCGGTACCATAAATTGAAATAATTTGCTCAAGATCCAGTAGGCGTCAGTGCATCGTGGCACGTTCATTCAGTATGGTATTCATCGTATTTCTTGCAATTTCTCTGGTCATCGCTTGTCATGTCGACTGTACCGATGGCGTTCCCAAGTACAAGGTACATAATGTTAGTATTATTAAAAAATAACAATTATTATTATTATTATTATTATTATTATTATTATTATTATTATTATTATTATTATTATTAGGCCTATTTCTCTCTTTAAATGATAAATTAGGCCTATATAATATGTATTTTAAATTACCTTTCGTGTTTTAATTTCTTTTGCATTGAGGAACCATGTGAATGTGCGCATCTACACCATATAATTAATTATTCTACAGTGTGGTTTTTGTCATAATCCCGCTGGTAGGATATCACTATAGGCCTATGTATGCGGGTAATTATCTAAAAAAAATCATAATTGATTATGATGTGGTTTGCTCCTTACTAGGACATTAGAAGTGTCACGTTCCAGTCCCAAAATGCATAATTAATTTTTTTAATGACGGGTCTTATTACTTCTTTGGAGCAACATCCATGGACCGCACCGCAACACTGTTTTAACGACACAGTTTCATCGAATCAATAATGAAGATTTTTAAAAGGCGACTGTGACAGTAAACCTATGTCTACACTATAAAATTTTATGTGATAAATTGGTGTAATGTTGCCATATATGGGCATAATGATGGGCATATCACATTTATTTGTTACATAAAAGTTGATAGTGTAGACAGCGTAGGCAAGGACCCTAGACCTAATGATACCACGTCATGCGCATGCGTACGTTCTCGCCGTTTGATTCGTTTACATTTTATTTATTTTATTTATTTGAACATACACCTTTGAATCGGTAGCACTCAATATCAATTGGTGCATTCGTACAAACAAAAACAAAAAAGGGTAAAATTTAAAAAACAAAATAAATAACAATCGACTGTATATAATATTACAAAATTAAAGAAAGGTAGAAAAATTACATATGAAATTAGATGTGATCACATTTCACATCGCATTTCATACTCAGAAATACTTTACAGGTCAACTGTAAAAATAAATGCTTAAAATAACTAACCTACAAAATATAAAATCTAAAGATGGAAAAGTCTTACAACAAAAAGATAATACCACGGTAGACCTACTAAACTTAAGGAATACAGACTACGATGTAGAGTCCACTTGTGGCAAAAAAAAAAAAAAAAAAAAAAAAAAAAAAATTAACATTACACAATTTGATAAGCAACGATACATTTACAGTAAACTATTGTTGTGAATTTTTTAGTTGTGAGCGTAATTCTCCCAAGCATTCATGATGTATTTTTTACAGAAATTATCAAAAATAGAGGTAGATTCATCACAAATAAAAACTGAATCTCCTCCTAAAATATATTGAAGTTTAATATCGTCATTTGTTGTTGAAAAAAGCGTCCATGTATCATAATCATTACAGAGTAGAAGGTCATTTTCAAGATTTGTTAAATGTTGTTTTCTAACGATATTATAAGCGGGACAATTTAGTAAAAAATGCTTGACATCTTCAATTTCTCCACTTTCACATAGGGTGCAAACGCCTGAAACATCATTTGACCATTTAGACGTTTTACAATCAAGGGGTAGTGTATTAGATCTTAATTTATATTTTAGGCTTGCCCCAAGAAAATTTGTTAATGTAAATTAATTTGTTAATGTAAATTTAATTTGAATGTAAATACGTTTTCCAAAACAATAGGAAAGCGCTGTGATTCACGTTTCGTCGCGATCGGAAACTCCTTGTTCTAATACACTAATAAATATTATCGAATATTTTTGTAGACCAGCCGTATCATAGGCTTCATCTGGCCCACCCCCACCCCAATAAAACATTAATACACAATTTAAAATTAAGAAAATTTGGGAATAAAAGTATGTATTCAAATTTAAGTCTGAGAGTGCCACTTTCGGCGGTCTACAGGTGCCCTGAAAATATTCCCCCCCCCCCAATATTTTGAATTCCTGCATCATCCCCCGCTACCTACAATTCGATTGATTCGAGTCCTTAACCAGTTTATACAAACCCGTACAAAAAAAGATTTATTCAACCTTGATTAATTCGCTAGGCCTACCCTCTCAAATTGAATTTTGTTTTCTTATTAATTCACAGATAAATTCTCGACCGAACGGATTTTCTTCAGCTTCTGGTAAGGAGAATTCGCTATTTAACAATTATGTCTATAAACAAATTTCATTATATATTGTTTCAGGGGGAACAATACCAACGATGCGGCAAAGGCCGAAACTATGCCGGGCCGTATAACTACCCGAAACGAAACGACCCAGGGCCGAACAACCCGACACCTGTAAGGATTGTTTGATAGGGTTATTCAGTACCTTTTATAATGATCACAGATAAATGCTCAGCAAATGTTAGGTATCAATAGGCCTAATGGAAACATGGGGGACAGGCAACACTCTAATTTTTTCATTGTTAACATCTTAACAACTCAGTGGCGGATCAAAATTATATTCAAATTTAAGTCTGAGAGTGCTATTTCCGGCCACCTAGAGGCGGCACAATCATAAAGTTGCTTGCCTCAGCCCCAACCATGGTCGAGCTGAGGTGATATTACGGCCCCACCCCCATCTGTGAATGTTCTTCCCTGGGCCCCTTTTATTTCGAATTCCTGGATCCGCCACTGCAACTGAACTATAGTGAACAAAAATATAGGTAGGAGACGTGTGGGAGCACGCAGCAGATTGTCTTTGTTTTTTGTTTGTTTTTTTTTTGTTCGAATATGAGTTCCTTCTTCCATTTCTATATCTAGGTCTACATATAAAACCCAATTGAGAATGAATTACATATTGAAATTGACAATGACACCATTGAGCGAAGTCAGCGATGTGTTCCATGTAAATTTTGGTGACAAAGATAAAACTGGTGAAATCGCGTATTCAGGGCGCTACCCTTTCAGTGCGGCTACGTCATGCCACATTTTATTACTAATTTGCTATAGCACGCTTAGAATGACAACATTTAATATCAAAGGCGCTGTTCATCGAAATTTAAATTAATGTCCATTAATTTGTTGAAAAAAAAAAGGTTTTTGATTTTCGCTTAAAGCTAGTGAAGTTATAGTTTCAGTCCAAACTGACGCTGAAAGATTGTTCCATAACCGTGGACCTGCCACTCCAAACGACATGTCAAAAAAGGTTCTCCGGGTTGTTACGGGAACTTCTAGCTTACAAGAATCAAGACCCGATCGCATGCCAGATCTTCGTGGAACTCTAACAACCATTAGTTAGCGAAGATATTCAGGAGCGTGTCCACTCAAGCATTTGTGAACTAATGTGAGAGTTTTGAAGTCGATCCTTTGGCGTATACTTACTTAAATACGTCATTCATACAATACTAAGTCACACATTTCTCTGTTCCCTGGTCATACAATCAAACCCCTGGCTTACGTACATCATAGTTACCAACCGTCTCGCATCGTGCGGGACGGTCCCGCATTTCAAAGTGATTTTGGATGAAAAACACGCATTTTGCAGAAACACGTGATCATAAATTTGTCACGCATTTAACACAGGTATACGTGATAACGAATTTATCACAAATTTAGGGGAAAACGTATTTAACATTAGAAGAAATTGGTTTTATTAACAATATAAAAACGGTCATGTAGTGAGACATTAGACAGTATTTTCGTGAATGCTCAATTCTTCACTGACGCGATACTAGAAATATGATCAGTATGCCTATTCATTTTTTGTATATTTAAGTAATAAAATGTTTGTGTACATAGTTCGTGTGCTCAAAATTAAACATAATGTACATTGAAATTCAAATTGTACGTGGCTTTATTATATTATTTTTTTATTTATTTACCGTACCCAGTATTGTCAACAAACACTCCTTGAAATAGTTTCAAAACAGATTTATAAATGCTGAGATCGTCGGAGCACCAGGGGCCCCTGGAACCAAACCGGAGCTCCGTCTCTGGACCCCGGAGGCGGTCCGGCAGCCCCGCCCCCACCTCCCCTAGCCAACGGTTTAGTCACGAATTTCAAATCTCTCAAGTTGGCAACTATGCGTACATATTGGAACCAGATAATGGTTGGAGTTGGTTGACAACGTTATGGTTAGATTAGCCTACTATATCAGGTTAATCATCATTATATCCATTGTCAAAACTGAATATTATTTACTTAGTGTTCAGGATGTGGATCAATAATTGACAAAGTCTCCAAGAGGCATCACGTCAATTTCGATTCTGGTTTCATACCAGTCACTGGACTGGATTATAAATATTGAAAATTAAATTATGTATCAGGCCAAAAGCGCGGTGCTTTACAATGTACCATTCCTCGAATAAATGCTCCGGGGCGTTTATTGTTGAGATGGTGTTTGGAGGGGAAATTTATTCTTGTGTAAAAATGGATATGTATACTCAAATATACGCCCCTTAATTGCACTGTAAATGTGCAACTACAACACATAAGAATGTGTCATTGTGTGAACATAGCGTAAATATTATTGATCCCAACTAAACCCGAGTTAAAAAAAATTAATAAAAATATGTAATTCTACTGGAGTAGAGTATTAATAGAATGTGTTGAGAATAATGTTGCTTCCATTATTTTTCTTTACAGTCATTTTTAGTAGGTTGCGTTCATTCGGGAGAAAAAAAAATAAACGCCCCAGGGCGTTTATTCGAGGAAGGCGTTTATTCCTAGTGAGGCTCTGAAGTTTATTCGAAGAGAGGGGAGGGGTGTTGACTTAAAGGGGCGTTTATTCGAATAAATACGGTATATCATTGAACATTTAAGAGCGGGTTGTAAATAGAATATGTTTCATAATTGTCTAGGTTCGACTGTATTTTGTTCAGTTCTTTACGTCACATATGGTGACGAACTGATAAAAAATTCAAATCCAACAGTATTTACC